CAGGCACATAGAGACCTTGTCTCCTTCCTCACCCAGGAATTCCCCATCTAAGCTTCTCATCCCTGGAATTCCTGCCTTGGCCCCCACTTAGCTTCTTCCTTTGTTCCCTGCTCCCCAAGGTGTCCTTTGCTAGAGCCATCAATCTGTGAAGTTTTTATTCCACTATCAGGGAGAAGAGAAAGCAGGAGAGTGGGGGCCCTGGTTCAGCTGTCAGGTCTATCCCTCTTGCAGTTATTTTTCTGAATAAACTTTGGCATGGGGATATTCAGAGACTTAGCTTTATAATTTCATTAATACCATTATCCCAGGTACATTGTATTTCAGTCGGCTTTTATAGGTTGGCCAAAAAATCCAGCTTAAATACTGTTTATTTGTAATATGCATTCTGAGTTATAAATGAAGGATTTACAAATGAAGTTTCATAGTATAATGTATTGACATGTTGGTGACAGTCGACATTTTGAAAGAGTATGGAACAAAATTTAAAGAAATGCATCTTTGTGGCTTGAATAATTAACCTCAAAACATTACTTTTAAAAATAGCAATGTTTTTTTTTCTAAATGCGACTTGAATTGTGTTCTGTGAAAATTCTAAATTAAGTTTTAAATAAAGTGTATGATTTTCCAATCCAAATTTAAGCAGCAGACCAAAATAATTTGCAACTGGAAAGAACATCATTTGAAAGTATTTTCCTTCAGGACATGACTGGTGTCTTGTCATGTCTATGTGTTCACACCTAGCTCAGCTGGTTCCTGGCATAGTATCAGATTTCAACAGATATTAGTGAATGTTGTTTTTGAATGAACCAAGTGCTCTTTGTGTCTACATGAGCAAATATTCCAAACTGAACTAAATTATTTATCTTAAATTCAGCTTCCCTTCCTTCTAAATCCCTTTCTTTGTTGCTTATTTATATAGTGAGCAATTAAAGGTTGGCAAATGGCTGTTGCATTTGATGGAATATTGGTTAAATGCCCAGACCAGGAGGACAGCTTCACACCCTGTCTTATTCTTATCATGCCATCTTTGGATGAGGGAGTCAAGAGTTGGTCTGGAGCTTTTGTATTTAGGCTGTCATTTTGTTCATTTGTCTGGAGTCCTTTAAAGCTGGTAAAAGGAGGCGGAGTCTTGAATGTGAGCTCCTTGAGTCAGGGCCCGTGTCCTGTTCATCTGCTTGCATGCTATTAATATTTAGCCTAGAGAGAAAAGAAAATAACCACCATTTGTTAAATACCTGCTAAGTCTGGCACTGTTATGGAAGACATGATCCTATGAGCCGTGGAGAGAATGAGAGAGGAGAAGGTAGGGACAGGGAGGGTGGATCTCATTTAAAAAGGATGATGGCTTTATAATGATGAATATGCTAATAATCCTGATTTGGTCCTCACATATTGTACACAAATACTGATCATCAACTCTGTACACCAAAAGTATGTATAATCAGTTATGTTTCAGTACAATTAAAAATAATTGAGAATGATGGGAAATTGGCAAGAGAAGAGAGGAACACAGGGACAAGGCAACCAGGTGAGTGTTTTTGTAAGCTAAGTACAAAGAACTGATAGACAGGGGTGATTGAGATGGAGGAAAGGAGGGGAGTAACTGATGAAGACCCCGCAAACCACTGGAGGAGGAATGTGGACAGGAGAGACACCACTTCCTCCAAGCCAGGAGGGATGGAGGTGAGCTGCTAAGAGGCAGGTGAATTTGAAAGCAAGAACTGGGCAAAAGGTATTTGCTCACATCATGTGAGATCTTGTGATGATAAATAATCGACTTAGAAGCAAAATCCTGACTTTCCTCACAGGGAACTTAATTCATTAACAGGTTTGGGGAAAATAAGATAATTTAGCCAGGCTCCCCGGACATTTCTTGTAAACAAGTTGTGTGGGTGGAGTTAGTGGCATGTGCACCAATGTATCATTCTAGTTATTGCTACTGTGTGTTCTTCAGTTTGTGAGGCAGAGCTGGGGCAGAGCTAACTTCTAAAAATAGAGCATGTTTACTCTGCTGGCAGCTGCTCAGTTTCTCTTCGGACTTTGCTGGTAGCAGTTGGGCTTTGAGTTTCCCTGTGGACTGTTTCTTAGACATGTGTGTGCTGAATAAAGACTACTCCTGCTTCAGCCAAGGCTCCAAGGAACTTTTTGCGGGTTTCCTAGCTCATAGACCTGCATGTGAAGGGTTTGTGAATGGGCTCGAGGGGTCTATGAGCTCCAGACCCAGCCCTAGCTCTACAACAGGATAGACAGAATCATATGCAGGGAAAGTCTGAGACTCTAAGAAAATCATGTAGAGTCACCTTCTCCCCCTCTAACATCCTTACATAGGCAAAAACTGGGGTAAAATGAACGTAGTGGGAATCCTTGAAGAGAAAAACGAGATCCATGAAAGGCTTAAAATAACAGCCTGTCAGCACTTTACATGTGTATAATGCTTGGTGGCTTTTATTCCCCACGGTCTCTCTCAGCCCCCACGCCTGTGCTCATGTTTTTCCTTCTGCCTGTTATGTTGTCCTCAACACCTCCCCCCCCCAGCCCCCCTTTTTTCTGAGACTCTAAGAAAATCATGTAGAGTCACCTTCTCCCCCTCTAACATCCTTACATAGGCAAAAACTGGGGTAAAATGAACGTAGTGGGAATCCTTGAAGAGAAAAACGAGATCCATGAAAGGCTTAAAATAACAGCCTGTCAGCACTTTACATGTGTATAATGCTTGGTGGCTTTTATTCCCCACGGTCTCTCTCAGCCCCCACGCCTGTGCTCATGTTTTTCCTTCTGCCTGTTATGTTGTCCTCAACACCTCCCCCCCCAGCCCTCCTTTTTCTCTGACACCAGAAACCTTTCCTATTGCCCTTTGCTGCCCATCCCCATCTATCATGCATTAGAGTTGTTGTGTGCACATTTTATCCATTCCATTCAATGGCGTGTGTCTGCGGTACAGGGCATGTCTTTTACTTTTTTTTTTTCTTTTCTTTTTTTTTTATTCTCCACGATCCTTCGCTATTAGTGAACACTGAAAGAATATTTACTAGATTATGTCTCCCTTTTTACAGGTAAGGAGCAAATCTAGCTCAGATTATATAATAGAACTTGTAAGTGTAGGATTTAGAATTTAGGTTCAAAACTTAGGTTTTATAATCCTCGAGCCTGTGCTCTTTTCCTAAACTATTTGCTTCTATTTCTAGAAGAAAGCACGTTAAATGCTGTCTAAGGGGGCATGTGGCAGGCAGTGAACATGTGCACTAATATACAGGGGCTCAGACGAGCAGGCATATACCAGCTGAGTCACTTTTCTCTTCCAGAAGCCATTTGTGATGTCATTTGCCTATGTCATGGCCTATCTTCCCTAGTTACTCTCTTTTTTTTTTCCTTTTTGTCTTTTTTCGTGACCGGCAACAGATCGCAACCGGCAACGGATCGCAACCCTTGGACGGGAACGGCAACGGGATAGCAACCCTCAGTGTTACACCCGCACCTCGCTCAGCCAGTGAGCCGCCGGTCTGTATGTGGGATCCGAACCCTCAGCGGGAGCGTCGCTGAGCTCCCAAGCAGCGCACTGTAGCAGTGCGCCACCGGGCGGCCCCCTAGTTACTCTCTTGATGTGAGGATCACACCCAAGGTGCTGAACTAGAGATCCAACTGTTTCTTATGGACATCTCTGATGGTGCATAAATACATAGAGATTGCTAGTGCCTTTGCCAGAACAATGCCTTACTTTGTAAGCACAGTTATCTCATTTAAAATAAATCCATTTGATATATACCCCTACTTTAATTAGGAATATGATAGTACCACTCATATTGTACCTCTCACATATCAACTTATTTAGAAGTTATTTGTGTACACATTGTATCTGCAAATTAGCAAAGAAGAATCAAATAAAATGTTTTTTAAATAAAAAAATAAAAGTGAGTATAGCAAAAACTGTGGAAGGAGATGTATGATGATAAAACAGAATGTTGTCTGATGCCAGACTGTGTTTTATCGCCATACCTCTCCTTCCTTAGTTTTTCCTCTTTGAAACTTGGTCGTTTTTAGCAAACTGCCAAAGTCCCCCTTTCAAATTATTAACTGAGATTAAAAGCAGTACAGTTACCAAGAATATCTATAGTTTAACAGTATGTGACCCCATACTGTTAAAGGAATGATTCTCTGTTTGTAGATTTTACTTAATAAGCTAAGTGGTAAAGGAAACATTTGTTTGCTGTTATTCTGCATGATGTTTAGAGAAGTTACATGGTGACACAACCACCTGTTATGTTGAAAAATGAAGCCCACTCTGACTATATGGTATATGACAAGTCATTCATATAAGAGTCTATGATATTATAGTGTTGATATTTAACTTAGTTCCCAAATCCCTCCTTAGATTTTTTCTTTTCCTCTGTATCCAACCTACAGGACATGGTATTTGTCTCCTTTCATGAAAATAAAAAATTATCCAATATCATATTCAGCCTTTTCCCTCTTATCTAGTTGTTTGATAGAGATGAAGTTGAAGTTGAAATACAAAGCCTGTTTGTGTAATTATTTTCCTTGCAATAACTTGACCTTTCAATGCCCTTCATTTTTATAGTGCTAACTTTAATAGCCCTGACAGTGGGTATCTTTTTCCCTCTATCCCATTTAAATTTTTGTCAGTAGAGTATGTCTCTAGTATCACAAATTTTGTCTACAAGGTCTACTGGGACAAAAGTGTATAGAAAACTGACTTGAGGGTTACCAAATGTGTTTCACATTTTCTTTGACCCCCTTCGTTCTCTGCTTCTGATTATCTATGAAAACGGACACAGGATGTGTCCTCATGAATTGCCTTTGTGAAGACAGAAAATGGATCATGATAGTCCAATGAGATAATATGCCTTAATGTAGATGTGTAGAAACTTTACAGATAATGGGCCCATAGTGAGCAAACTACCAGAGTTCACAGCCACAACAATGTATGAATGCTTGCAGCAACAAGGTTACATTTATTTTATACCAAGCAAAGCAGAGAATAACTACAGTCGAGTCACTTCCTCCTTTGAGGAACAAAAAAGGCGGTAAATATAGTTGAAAATAGAAAGACAGATTGTGGTCAAGCTTACAATAGGTCCAGTGAATGGACAATATCTTTGGGTTATGATCTGTGGTTTCTCAGGAAGGATAGTTGGCCTAGAAAGAAGCCACTGGATGAATTCCTCTAACTTGGTAGCACTGAGGAAAAATCTCCACTTTCCTCCATGAACAAAAGTTAGCTTGATCCATGTGTTAAAGTCTGGGTAAATATAAATGTCTGACTTTGGTTTCTTAAAGCTTCTTGATACATTTTGATGGTTACTTTTCTTCAGACTTTTAATTTTGGGAGAATTTTTTTTTCCTCAAGATGATCTTTGGGCTCTGGATAACCAGGCACTTTTTCTGGTTCTGCTGAAGAGCTTTCAGAGTCTGTAGAGGCTGATGTGTTCTTCAGAGTTTCTGGTTTTGTGAGTTTGTGAAGCAGTTCTATGATTTCTTTACCCTTTTCTCCTTCCAGAACCTCTAAACAATGTATGCTGGAGCAAGAATTTTGGTTTTCCAGTTCTGTCACCTTCTTCTTTAAAGCATCAATGTCTTCTTTCACAGAGAGGATATCTTTAGTTTTTGTGCATTGTTTGTCTTCATTAACATTCATCCTGGTTTCCAGTACCTCCGTTTGCTTATGATAAATGTCAATCTTTTCCTGGATTTTTGATACTGCACTAACAATGTCAGCCATTTGGCTGAGGAGTTCAATTTGGGCAGTTTTAACATCTTGGAGTGTCAATGTAAAATTCATTTCTTTGTTACAACTAATGCCATCTTGAGCACAGTCATAGGAAGTCATAGTTGGATATCTAGTTGAATCTGGGTGCTGAATCTTACATTTGCGGTAAACATTTTTAAGAGATTGTCTGATCTTGGCGAGATTTGAAGTCCATATCGCCCCAGTGGCAGCTTTTACCCTCTTTGCGTGAAGTTTGTACATCTTCCTGGTGAAATAAAAGGCCAGGTATTGGGAAACATAACTAGAATCAGAGGAAGAAGCGATGTCAGAATGAAATGATCTTTCTCTTACTGTTTGCTGGATGTCTTTCCTGGTGACATCATAGAATGTCCTATGGAGGACTGATCAAAGGCAACAAGGCACTCTTAGGTGGTTAGCTTCTTAAGGGGCAGCCCTGCTGAAGGGCTCTATCTAAGAATGGTCAACTGCACGGTATCCTTCATATGGTCATCATTGACCAGATGCTGATGTCACAATGACTGCTGGCTTAGAATACATTTAACCATGGGGAAGCAGTTCTCAAAATTTTGGGTTATAGGTTATACATACAGCTTTTGTTTATGTGGGTTGTATCTATATATATTCTATATCAGAAAATAAAACTAAGAAAGTCTTAATATATTTATTTATTAATTTATTTAAATAAAAAACCTATTACATGTTAACATAAATGACATATTTTTTTCTGAAATATAATTCTATTTTCTAAAAGAAAAAAATAGAAGAGTGGCATGGTTTTACACATCTGCAAATGTTTAAAATACTTGGATTAATAGAAGACACCTAGATTCTCACATCTGCTTCTGCATTACATCTGTTGTGATACATTGTTTCGGTGGAAGTATATGAAGACAATATGACTTCACAGAGATATGGAAATGGAAATGGGAGAGTATTTTAATAACCTTTTCAGATAATTGAAGATATTGTTCTTTCCTTCTCCATAGAAATTTGACAAATGATAATTTTTTTAGAAATTAGTTGCAATGTGTGACCTTAGACCAGATAAATGAACTTTCATACTCTATTACATTAAAATTTATGGGTCTATTTTCCATTTTAAATGGGTGCATAAGATCATGCATTGGTCATTTAGAAAATAATGGTTCACTGAATTATGCAGATCTTCCAAATGTTGACTCATTTTATTGTAAAATATTAGAATATTATATTCATTAATATCACCACCAATCTCACCAGAAAAGTCTTTGAATATTGAGATGAGGCCAAGTTCATGGTGGCAGAGTCAAGTTTTCTAAAATTCTAATTTTAGCTTGAAAAGCTTGAAATTTATCAAGCTTATTTGTTGTTTTCCTTGAAGTGACTGTCTCCCTACATTCATTTTTTGCAAAAATGCTTGCCAAATGTCCAACTATGAACACTATAGTTGGTTGGCAACTGTTTTTTCAAGGAAAAATGGTGTTTCATAAAGAAAGCAGCTAGTCCATTTTTTAGCTCAGAAAAGTAGTTTTTTCTTGAGACAACCATTATACTTGGTAAGCAGCAGAAGTGCTTTGTACGTACTTCCCATTACATTATGTATAATATTAAAAAGATGGACTAAAGGGTTGAGATTTAATAAGATTAAAAATTTTTACTGCTTCATCAAGAACATTCTTGCATGAAATTGTTTTTTTCTTGTGTTCTTTTTTGTTTCCCCCCTCTAAGTGGTGGTGAATTATGCAATCACTATTGTTACAGGGGTGCCAATACCTTGGTTTGTGCTAAGGTACCAACAGTTTTACCCACCATTGCTTTTGCAATGTAATTTTCGAAATGCAAATGTAGCCATAGTGAAAAAGGCAAATAGTGTCCTAGTATTATTTTGAAATACTCTTTCCCTCATAGTCATACATAAAAAGCGACCTCATGGCACAAACTATACCACACTTTGAGAACCATTGTCTTGGAATTTAAAATAACATAATACATTTCTCATGTTTCTTCTTATAGGTACTAAGTAACAACAGTACTTGAAATCCAAAACCCTTTGAATTATTAAATAACATTTTGTCCATTTTATATATTGAGGCAAAAACATAATTTTATTCTCTGAACACATAAGACAATATTTTGGAATTGAAATGACATGATAACCATATGTCAGTCCCAATCTATTCAAGAAGATATTCCTTCTTGGATTAGTGCCAGTTCCAGATTTCTACTAAGTCACTATTTCTCCTATTTGTGCCATATTTCAGGGTCAATGTTGGCCCAGGTTTTGGTACAAACTCTGAACTTAGCCAAAAGTATTTAAGAATTTTGTCTCATCAACAATATCTGGAATTTTGCTTTATTCTCCAATTTTTAAATTGTTGGTTAGTAACCTTTCCAGAATGTCTAGAAAACTGTCCAAACTCTTGCTGAGGAAAAATGTTCTTTAGGAGGTAGGCTACCACAGAAATTGTATTTGGGACCAGAAAGGTTAAAGTGTGAAGCTGTCCTATTTACTTTGGCCAAGGACATTTTGTCCATCAAGTTCTACAGACACAGTGCTTAGGCGTATGAAGTTTTCAAGGGCTAATAAAAATATTTGAGATGAGAAGAAAAAAAAATGGCTCAGCATACTAAAAGAAAGCTGCAAAATTGCAATAATAAGTGTTTAATTAAATGTCTAAAATATACTATAATCTTCATTAATTGTTATACTTGGTATTATTAAAATTTCCTTACATGTGGAGGCAATTCGTTGATTAGATATTCTCACTTTACAAAAATTCCCAATGAAATTAGAGGGATTTCTTGTAGTAATTACTCCCTCCAGGTTAATAACAGCCAAATCTTTTTGGTGCATAACAGACACTGTTCTAAATACTAGCTTATTTACCTGAAGTTCAGAGAAATCAAGTAACTTTCCTAAGGTAACACAGCTAAAATATGGGCAGAGTCAGATTTCAGATTGTTACATTTTGGCTCTATAGTCCACATGTTTCACTGCCACACAATCATGATAAAAGTATGTAATTGTCACAACTCAGAAAAAGATGTACATTTCATTTTTAAAAAAAAAACACTATATATTTATAGAAGACTTATTTTTTAAAAATTTTATTTGTTCAGCAGCATGACAAAACTGAAGCTTTAATTGGTTATTTTATTTACCAAAGCTATTTAAAGCAGAAATTTGTGGAGACCTTAAAAGTTGAACTAGCTTTAATTCACAAGTAAAAATGAGCATTTGGAAGCTATTCTTGCCTTACCATAGTAATATAACAACTGGAATAAAAAAAAAAACAGACTTTAAAATTTTCAACTAAAAATATTTATGTATGTTGATTATTTTTATAAAACAAATTAATCTAGTAGGTTTGATACAAACATAAACCCGTCTGGGTTTCTAACTACTTATTAATGTTTAATGAAGGAAGCCTCAGCCTATTTGGGGCTTGTTAGTGAAAAGCTGTAGTGGGAGGATATATGCCTATTGATTTGGGTGAAGTTATGAGAGCAGTCAAAACATGAATGAATAACGGGAAATGAACTGACTTCCTCCTTAAGTTTCCTGCCAGGGATACAGAGGGATTTAGGAATAAAGTAGCATGGTAGACTGGAGCCTAGAGGGAGACCCTTCCTGAGGAAGAATGTTCTCCAGGAAGCTGTTTTCGGGGTAATGGTATTTGGAGTCAGAAAGGTTAGAGTTCAAGGCTGTTCCATAACTAACTGTGCTCGAGGCAGGTTACTAACCTCTCACAAGCCTGTAAAATGGGTTAATAACAGCACCTATTTCAAAGAGTGGTTTTGAGAATTAAAATGCTCAGTATTTGTAAACACTTTTCATCCCCTTCTCTAATCACCTCCTTCTTCTCACTTCCCTTCTTGAAAATCAAAGGAGGAAATGGTCAAGAGTTTGAAGCTCTAATGTGGCTCACTCACTCGATCGCTTGTTCTGCCCTTCATTCTCTCTCTTTCAGTATGACCAAGACATAAGGCCTGTGGTGCTCTGTTCACTATGCTGTGCAGATAAAGCATGTTGATTAGAAGAACACAAGAAGGCAACAAGCAAGGCTGGACAAACCAGCACTGTCTCCCGGTACAGTATTTCTCAACCATCTGTGGTATCAGGCAGACTGGCATGGAATAGCCATTGGAGATATGGCTCTAACAATAAATGATATTATCATATTTAAGTTCTGGTCAAGATGGCAGAATAGAAGATCCCCAGTGTCACTCTCCCACAGATCAACCAATTTACAACTATTAAAAAGTAACGACAGCCAAGCTGGGGCCACTAGAGCTCAGGGGAAGAGGAGAGACTTACAGAGTACATGAAGGTGGGAGAAGCCACAATGAGAGAAAGAAAGGGTCGTTCCCACCATTTCGAGCCCCAACCGCTTCCAGGCGGGAGATGGGGTGAGGAGCCAGAGACAACATAAAAAAGGACACAGAGGCTGGTGAGTCATTGCAAGGGACCAGCCCACGGCTTATCCCATGGGAAGTGTTTGGAGTATGGGGGGTAGAGGAGATGGGCCACCAGGGGAACACTGGGGCACAGCAGGGACAGCTGATCTGCCCTCCAATCAGTGCAGGACCACTCAGTGGAGACTGGTCAGGAATATAGAACGGCAGAGAGTGCAGTTTGCTGAAAAGACTGAGGCCCAGACCAGAGTTTCCACACAACCCAGGTGCACCAGACCTCATGAGACTCAGAAGTACATACAAGGTCAACAGTTAAAACCTGAGATGCACAAAAAGCCTTCTGCAGAGAATCAGCAGCAAAGCAGCAATTTAGCTTAGCTCAACTACAGGGCTCAAGTGCTGGTCGGCACAGGAAGTTCCTCCATTTAGAAAGTAAAGGGCAACAAATTAGTTCCTGTGCAGAGTTTAAGTGGTAGGAACTGCGAATAATCCAACACAGAACTGAAAGGAAAAACAAAATACCCACAGATCAGAGACAAAGTAGGATATTAACTAGGTCTAACACCAACACCAAAGAATACCTATAAAACCTAGAAGGACAGGAAGTCCCTGGGCTGCCAAGTCAAGGAGAAGGGAAGGCCAAGGGCCTCAGGCACACCCCTCTACATCTGCAATCGGCCCAGCAATGACCACCAAGCCACTACAGGAAGCATCCCAGGTTCCTGAGCCGAGGTGGTGGGGGGATGAGGGCCTCAACCACACCCCCTGACTTTTGCAACCAGTCCAGACATGATCACTGGGCCACTGCAGGAATTGCCCTGGGTCCCCAGCCAGGGTGGTGGGGG